TATTCTTTTATAAAACAAAAAAAAAATTAAGTCTATAAATTAATTCAATAACTTTTTAAAATAAAATTACTATTTATTTGAAAAAAAAATCATATTATATTATATATTATTAATTTATCATCAATATCATCAATTTTTAAGATATTCGCATTATTTTGTTCCATATTTCAGATAAATTTCGAGTTCTTTTCTTAATATAAATATAATTCAAATAGAAAAAAAATAGTAATTTTAATTTATGATTATTATGATTAACTGCTTTTTAATTTTTTTGAAAACAAACTAATATATATTAGTTAAATGATATTAAAACGATTTGAATATATTATAATTAAATAAAATGTAGTAAAGAAAATAAATACATATATAAACATTTTTCAATTCAAGAAGAAAATGATAACTTCTTTATTTCTCTTGCAAAGTAAGATTAAGTATTAGTAAAAAACTTGCTATGATTTATAATCAATAAATGAATTCATTATTTTCGCAATTTGATTGATAGTAATTTGCATCAATAATTTAATGACTAGAACATACAATAATTATATATTATACTTTTCATATCTTATAAAATGGTTAAATTAAATATTTAATGTAATGATATCGAATTAAATTCTAGATTTAATAATAAAAATTATTTATTAGTTTTTCAATTTTTTTTCATTTTCATCAAAATTTCGTTTTACAAAATAATCTTTCAAAAATAAATTCCACTGTTCTATTGTCACTAAATTAGACATTTAAACCGAAACTGGCAACAAAGAAGAAAAGAGAAAGGAAGAAAGCGAAGAAAATGAAAATATATAAATACGATGAAGAAGAAAACGAAAGAGAAGTAAAGTGCGGCCAGAAGCAGCGCAAGAATCGAAAGGAAAAAAGCAAGACAAGGTCTCGTTATCTCCGATCTTCACCCCGTCGAGGAACATGTACCCCCCGTGGAATGTTTACCCCTCCTCCGCGAGTTTCGTATCGTCCACCTCTCATCGGAGTTCCCAAAAAGCCCAACCCTCGTTTCGCTTTGATCCAGAGACACCGCCTCGACTGATCGAGATGAAAATGGAAAAAAGAGAGCATGTACGCATAGTACAGAACGTGGAAGCAAGATGGACAAGAGAAAATAAGTCGAAGAGGTGGGGAAGGAGACCGAGATGGAGGAGGAAAAAGATAGGGCGCGAGAGAAACGGAACGAAAGAAGTGCTGTGGTACCGGTGCCTCGGTGTATCTATGGCCATATTTTAGCCCGTCCTTTACAAGACAATGGTTTCAACCGAGGACCGATAAAAATTATTCAAATGACTAGTCCCGCTGTAAATTCCATCCGGGAATCCCCTTGCCACTGCTTGTCTTCCGCGAGAGTCATCCTCGATATGTAACGTGCGCAACCAAGTCAGGATGCTCGCGTTTTTGCATACAATTTAATATTTAAGATATCAGAGTCAAAAATTTTGTATTTTATCGCAACAAATGCTTGATTTGTGATATATTGTTTCAATTGTGATATATTGTTTTGTATAATTATTGTTTGATGTTGTGTTCTTTGATTAATTAATAACTATTGGATAATTTGTTTAATTAAGGAAATTTAAATTAAGCTAATTTTTGAAAAAAATGATAAATTAAGGAGTTCATTATTTAAAGAAATAAATAGGTATATTATGATTTATAGTAGATGTATTATTTCGAACATTTTATTTGATGTAATCTTTATTTAAATAATTGTTCTATGTTTAATGAAGGAAATTTACAACAAATATTTGGAAAAGTAATTAAATTGAAGAGTTCTATTTAAATAAGTAAATAACATATATTTAAAATTATAAATTTAAAAATATAATATATTTTTAATTATTATTTAATTATTTGATTAAAAATTTGTTCTTAAAAAAAATTCAAAATAAATATTGAATAATAAATATAATAAATAATTGAAATAAGTATATAGCGAAATAAGTTAATTACATTAAAATCAAATAATAAATAATAAATAATTTATTTCATAAAATGACAAATAAATTATATAATTGCATTATTTATTCATTTTGTATGGAATATTTTTCATTTTGTATGAAATATTTGTTATTATTTATTAATATAAATTATTTTTTAAATAATACTAAAAAATAATTTTAAAATAATATAATTTAAAAATTTTTCAAAATTTAAATTCAGTTTAATTAAATATAGGTAATTTCGATTAAATAAAATGTATTATTGTAAGAAATTTATTATAATTATTTGAAAAATACACTTTTTTTTATGTGTAAATGTAAATTTTAAAAAAATATTGTTATATTTGTATCATGTAATACAATTTTAAAATTTAAAATTTAAAATTTATAATTTATATTTATATAATTATATTTATTTTAAATTTAAAATTTAAAATTTATTATATATAAATTATATATAATTAATAAATTTATATATATATAATTATATATATATATATAATTTATATATATATAATAAATTTATTATATATAAATTATTTAAAATTTTTCTGTTGATTTAATTAATTTTCTTTATCTAATAAACGATTTTGTTATCATATCTTTCCAATTATAACAAATTTAAATCTTAGTAATTATAAAAAATATATTAAAATATTTAAATTATTATATTTTTAAAATAAAATTTCAGTTTTTATTCGTTTATATAGATATATTATTATATTATATATTATATATTGTAATTGCAATGATCTTTTTTCAAAATATAGAAAATATTTGTTGAAAATATTATTCCATACAACAATATAGTTTATCCATTATTTATTGTAAAGATGATATGAATATTGTAGATATTAATAATATGATAAAAATGATAAGAAACAATGGTTAATTTGAGACTAATAAGAGAAAAATTTTATTGTATTACAAAATAAAAAGTTACGAATATTAAAAATATTAATTTCTATATTATGAAAAATTGAGAATGAATAAATAAAGTAATAATTTATTATTAAGAGATAGATTTTTATTTATATTTTAATTAATATTTCTTTTATTTAAAAATTTATTTAGAAAAAAATAATAAAAAATAAAAAACTAATACCCAGATTAATAAAAAAAAAAATTTTAAAAATAAAATTATTTAAAAATTGTCAATAAAAGATAAGTATATGACTCTATTTCTTAGTATTTCTTAGTATTTTTTCATAATTATTTTTTCTTTATTTTTTTTTGTTTTTATCTATTTATATTTTTTCTTTTTTTAAATGAATTTTTCGCATCAAATATTATTATTAACATTATAATATATAATATAAATTTGAATACATAAAAGATCAAATTTCACTATAAAATATTGAATTTATATTTTTAATATTTGTTTATAATTGACTGTTTTATTTGAAAAATATACTATATGTTATAAACTGAATGTTACAAATATATTAAAATTAACAATATTAATAAAAATTTTCCACTATTGTAAATTTGATAAAATATTTATTTTTTATTTTAATATAATTTTTAAATATTTTTGAAAATCAATTCAAACTTTGATAGATTTTTGTAAACCAAAAATAACCTGTTCCTTTTATTTTTATTCATTTTAATAATTTTTATAAGTAAAAATAGAGAAAGCAAAAATAAAACAAACACATAGATCAATATCAAACTATTTTAATATAAATGGATCGGCAACAATAAATAAAACGGCAAGAACGAGCAATCAATAAGTATATCAGGAGACCTTACGACTTACCTTACCTTTACGAGAATATTTTTTCCAACATCTAATCATTGAATCATTACCATCAAATATACTAACAAATAATATCAAATAAACTAACAAAATAGAACAAAATAGAGCAAAATAGAACAAACAACTATAAATCAAATTACAAATCATTCTCATATAAAGAATCATTGGAAGACCACAAAAAATGTTAACCAAAGTTAAAGTTATGGTGTCAATTCTGATTTATATTATTTCCAAAAATCAAACACATTAAACATTTTTATCAAACGAAATAAAATTTTTTTATAAATATATAATTTTATATATATAAAATTGGAAAAATTGAAAAATTTTTTAAAAGAGATATTTGTAAGGTAATTAGATTATTCCGGTTTATATTTATCATTTATTGATACAATGATAATTTTTATCAATTTTTACCAATGAAAAATAATTATAATTCAAATAATATTTGAAAAATAATTATAATATTTATACAATAAATCGCTATTTATCGCTTGTTTGATGTTAATAAATTATTAAAAAATTAAATATACGATAATAATACATAAAAAAATTTATCAATGAATTATCAACTTCATTCCAAATATTTGATTTTTATTATTATTAACATACAGTTATTTTCAAAATTATTTAGAATTTACAAAATAAAAAAAAGAGAAATACATTTGATTTTTTTTAGAGATAGAAAATATTCGAATATATTTAAGCAAGCAATGTTATTAAATTAAAAGTAAAAAATTCTTTACAAAACTATTCCTATGTAAAATGAATTATAAAATTGATAAAATATAATAAAAATTGAAAAAAAATGATAAAAAAAAATAGTTTTGATCATTAATAAAAAATAACTTTTAATATATTTAATTATTTAAAACATGTTAGTTGTCAAAAATGATATCGAATATCAAAAAATTGTTTTTGTTTATTGTCATAAATAATTTTTTATTTTCAATTTAAAGAATTCAAAATATAATAATTTTTATATTTTCAAAATAAAAATTTACTTTTTTCTTTATTTTTCTTTATATGTTTAAATAAATTAAATTTAAGTGAATATTCTTTTTATTGATATATATATATATATATATATATATATTATATATTAATATATAATAAAACATTTTTGTTATTTTAGATATGTTTATTCTAAATATAAAAATATAAAAATCAAAATAATATCTGATTATTTTTAGAAATAACTATATTTGATAGATATATATGATAGATTAGTAATAATTTCATTATTGAATTATATTTGATTTACTATTATATAACATTTACATAAATCTTACCTGAAAATCCATTACATTAATATTGAAATCGGGATGAGCCTCAAGAAAATCTTTTACATCTGCAACATTTCCATAACCAACCAGTTCAAAGAAATCTTTTTCCAATTGTTGCAAATGTGGAATTATCACTGCAGATTCCTAAAATAATATCAAATATTTTAACAATACATACAAGATTTCTGAAATAATATCAAATATATTAATAACATGTGAATTTTTCAGTAAATAAAATAATTAAAATAAAATTAATAAAACTTGATATCATTTTGTTTAATATATAATGTATATTTTGTATAATTATATCTTCTTTAATAAATAAAATTAAAAAATTAAAATAAAGTTAATAAAACTTCATGTTATTGAATAAAAATTAGAAACAAAATTTTTTAATTTTATAGAAAATGATCTATAAGAAATTTTTTTGCATAATTGTATATTAAAGAGCAGATTATTCTTATAACCTCTAAGAATTAATATGCAAAATTACTCACCCTTGGAACGGAGAAGGGATCTTCATATTCTTCCGTCATTCTGAGCACGTGTGCACTTTAATTACGCCGGAGAAAAGGATGTTTGCTACGATTTACTTAAAACAAGTCGATGAGACTTAGCTTGACGTGTAAATTTCATGTACAAAACTCGAATAAACAAAACAACAACGATGTAAGTGAACTTCATTATATCTTTTTTTTTTAAAAATTTTTTTTTAATTATTATACTTCAATTTTTTATATATTATGAATTTAATAAAAAATTTAATAGCTTACAATACATATTTTTATTTTGTAAAAATTAAGAAATATTTTATTTTATTTTTAAAATTTATATATTAAAATAATATATTAGAATAATACATATTATAATATAACTAATTTTATAAAATTATAAAATAATTATCAGATTATTTAAATAATATTTATAATTATATAATAAATGAATTATTATTTTCTTTTTGTTGATTTTAATATTATTATTTGATACACAAAAAATTTAAATGTTAATATTTATTATTTAAAAATTAAAAAAAGATTAATTAATTTATAATAAAGTAAACCTAATTTAAAAATTAAAATTTTTAATTTTAAAATTAAAAAATAAAAATTATCTTTTTAGTATTATTTAATATAAATATTAAACTAAAATTAATTATGTTATATATTTTACATAGTTTATGTATAAAAATTTCTTAAATATTCAAAAAATTATAATAAAAAGAAAAGCATCATATATTTTATATATTTGAAATTTATTTTAATGTATACAAAAATAATATTACTTTTTTTATTATTTTACCGTATAATTTTAATAAAATTTATTTAAATTTATCAAATTCTTAAAAAAAAGAAAGCAATCACAAGACAGTAGTTTTTACTTTCTGTTTAATGATTTAATTAAATCTACCGATAGTATATATACATAATTTATAATTTGTTTTTCCGCTACATACAAATAATAATAATAATAATATAATAATAAAATATAATATAATATAATAATAATAATCATTATATATATAATATAATAATATATAATAAATTTGAAGATAACTTAAGAGTCAATGAAATAACCGTTCTAAATCTAACGTGAAATAATTATTTTTAATCAATCATAGAATCGTCGATTGAATCAATTTTTTCATTGAATCAAATATGCAATTTCTATGCTATGTATTACTATGTATATATCCAAGGAAAATTCATTGTTTTTTTTATGAATAGTTTTTAAATGCAGCAATTTTAATACATAAACTGTGAACGTTTTTATGCATTTATATTATTATTAAAAATTTAAAAACTTATAAAATGCAAAGAATATGTTAAAAAGATATAAAATATCCAAAACAAAGTACATATGATATTTAAAAAATAAAACAAATCTTTATTTTAGTTTTATTTCTGTAGTAATATTCATAAATATTTAATTTGCATAAACATTCGCAGTTTAATAATATGGATATGAATTAAAAAATAAAGTCCAGAAAACGCAGCATTCAATATTCAAAAGAGAAAGAAAATGACAATTAGTGACTATGTACAATAACTTTTTTTTTTTTCCTTTCCTTTTTTTGTTTTTTTTTTTTTTTTTTTTTTTCTTTAAAGCGCATTTATAACTTTTTTTTTTTCCTCTTCTAGAAAAAAATCTTCCTGTTCTAGAAAAGATAACAGGATTCCTAATATTTTTTTTAGAGATTGAATCCTAATTTTACATTCGTGAAATTCGAATTCAAAAATCTCAAAATCTAAAATATTCATTCCTGTTCTTCTTCTTTTTATTTTTTTGATTAATTAAAATTTTTATAAGTTAAAATCTTAAATTTTAATTTTTGAAATTTTTAAAACTTTGATTTATAAATTATTAACTAATCAATCTTTTAACTTGTAATTAAATTTTTTTATTATATTTATCTCAATTTTCTATACATTTTTTTTCCATATAAAATATCATTTATTAATATTATATTGTAAGATTAAACAAAAGTTAAATTATTATTATATTATTTAAATAAGAAAAAAGAGAATTTCGAATTTTAAAAATAGAGAAAAGATTTTTTCATACTTTTTTTATATCTACTTTGCATATATATGCATATGATAAATCAAAAGAGCAGAAAGAAAAGCATCGATTGACGAAGTAACGCATCAACATTTTCGTTTTAATTTCTATAAATAATATTAAATTTTAAATCCAGATGAATTTAAAAATTTTTTGATTGAAAAGTACAAAATTTTAACTTCAATTTTGAATAAAAAAATCTGGATAATGATATATAGATAAAGATTTAAAAAGGATAATACATTATAACAAATACGAATTTGTCTCTGATTTGGTTCAACAATTATACTTTACAGTTTGATATTATTTGAAAGAAGAATAAGATTTTCTTTTGAATAGGAATTTATAGTACGTCCGAGAAATTATAACAATTTAAGTTTATCAAAAATAAATATTGAATTTAATAAAATAAAAATAGATTATTTATTATATTTTTAGCATTTATGTGTACTATACATTAAAAACGCATAAAATAAAATTCATTTAAGAAATATTCAAAATCTTGCACAATTTTTATATCAATAATTTTGCATATTTATGATAGTTGAAGAAATGATACTTTTTAATTTTCAATGGTTAGAAAAATAATTACAGATCTAAATATGGATGGCATATAAAAAATATTTGTACATACTCTTATTCTTTAATAATTGCTTTGTTATCATGTTCTACATTTTATTTTCATATCATTTAATTTTTAATATAAAATATGAAATATATTTTGATATGAAATAATATATAAATATAATTAATTTAATTAATATTCAAATGTATAATAAATATAATGATTTATAAGTACTTTTTATAGCCATTGTACATATATTTTTTAAATTTTTTGTATTAATTTGTTATTTGAAGCTTTTCTTATATAAATAATAACATTGTAATAATAAGTGGATTTTATATATGTAATTTATATATATCTAAAAATTGAAGAAATTGAAGAAACACAAGTTAAAAACTTTTCCTATATTTATACTATATGCCTAAGTGTAAAGTTAAAATATTCTATCTAGTTTTTTTTCATTTTTCATGATTTATTCTAATATTTGAAATTTCATATATATTTTATATGCTATTTTTTAAAAGTTACAAAGCTTTGAGTATCTTAGTAAATATCTACAAAATTTGAAAAAACTATAGATTTCTTAAATATCTGGAAATACTAGATAGTTTATTTTAACAAATGACAAAATAATATCATAATAATAAACAAATTTCATTTAAATAAATTCTTCATACTTTCAATAATCAATGAACTAATTATACACAGATTTAAATATATTTTTAAAATATTTTATATCATTTCATTATTAAAAACTTTTCCTGTACAGATAATAATATTATATAATAATAAACAAATTCTATATGAATTCCTTTGACTTTCAATATATTTTTATAATCCTTTATATCCGTTATTAAAAGTTTAAGAAATAAAGAAATAAAATCATGTACAACAATGAGACGCATTTCATTCAAATATATAGAATGCAAAAGCATAAAACATAAAGTAGTGAATATGTGAAATTAATTATTTCATAGAGCACGAATCAATGGAAATATTTTATTGCATAAAAACAAACAACTTTTCTACCCATTTTTTAATGGAAAATATGAAACGTGATAGAATACATAAATTCTGCTCTATGTCTACATTCCACGATATATAGAGCCTAGAAACACTTTTTAAACATTTCATCAATCATTCTGTCAAACACATAAATAAATTTCAAATATACATTACTGATCAAAAATTTGAAATCACTTTTCTTTTTAATATTGAACATTTTTTTATTTTAATATAATTTATGAAATTAGATATCAATAGTATTTTTATTTATTTTATTATTTTTGATTTTTGATGAAAGAAGTTTCTAAAACTTAACATAACTTAATCTTACCTGTTAACTGTGTTTGACAAATATAAAGAAATGACAATTTTTTTATATTATGATAATATACTATTTATTATAGAAAAAAAAGAATTATTTTATATTACTTAGATTAAAAATTTTAATGAAAATTAAAATATATTTGTAAATTTAAGACATTTTAAAATATAAAACAATAAAAAAAGAACAATAGTGAAAAAATTCATTAAAAAAAAATTTACATAATGTGATTAATAGATATAAAATATTTACAAAAGTGCTTTGTTGTATTTAGTTTTTTAAGTATTTTGAATATAAATAAATTTTTTGTTTTTATAGAAACAAAATCTATTATTTTTTTGTATATTTAATTTTTCTTATTTTATTTTATTTTTTATTTTATTAAAGAGATTATATTTCTTAATTTAGTCAAGAAATTTCAAGCATAATTTAGTCAATTTAGTCAAGCAATAAAATTATTTATTTTTCGAAGAAAAATCTATTCATTAAAATTTAATTTAATTTTATAATAAATACAGTCTTAATTTTAATCATAAATTTTTGAGATATACACAATTAACAGGTTAAATATTTGGATTTCTTAGAAGACATTAATGATTCCAAATTTATCTAGTTTACACATAAGTAATTTATCGACGAACTTGTGCTAATCGAATTCTTCGTAATCTAATCTAATTGGGTCCTGTCGTAAATCCATTTCAGAAAACACTTCACGCAGTCGCATGTTCGTCTCAGAAAGAAAGAAAAGAGAAAAAAACAAAAATTACAATAATTATATTATATACTCGTATTGTACACATGCTATACTAAGAAAAAAGCTTCGATTCTTTCTAAAGCTTTATTTTAACTTGTCCAATAATATATATTATACTACATGTCACTCGGTGAACGAAGGTGGGTCACTGGCCAAAACAAACATCACTTTTACATCTACGACATAATCCACGCATCAACTATATTCTTCAATTCTATTAATAAAATAAAAATAAAAAAATAAAAAAAAAAAAAACACTTCAAATTCAACTTATCTTTTTTCTTAAATGGTCTTTTCCATTCTTCTTTTCAAGAATCACAAAGTAAATTACATTGGATAGACGATCCATTATAAACGATCCATTATAGATGATCATCTGATTGATTTTCTTCTAATAACCCTGTATCCTTAGCTAAAAATTTTCAATACTTGTCTTTTTAAATCTTTTTGAATCACATGACACTATAGGGTTATTTTAAACGTGTTTCAGACAAAAAATCAAAAAGAGGTTCTCCTCTCGATTAATGTGATATCTAGCTCACTGATATAGCATTTTTGTGGGTGTCACGTAAGAAGAGACCCAATAAAGAAAGGACGCATACCAGAGGATGCCTTCTTGCTTCGTTTTCGAATTTTGCCTTGCGTCTTGGTACCTTAAATCTTCACCGCCGAAAATCCTCCTTTCGAAGAAGGATCTCATATTGCTCCATAATCTGTATGGCAGAAACGCGAGATGAGCTATTTCTTGGTTGTCCACAAACGCGTAACAGGAAGCGACCACGTCATCTATCAACACTGTTCCTTCAGTCGTCAGAGGAGCGAAAATGCCCTCTTCGAGGACTAACTGATTGTCGATCACTTTGTCCCATCTAAGACGATGTTGCACTTCGATCTCGTTGGATGGATCTCTCACTAAGATCTTGTCGCCTAATTGAATTCTGCCGGCAAATACAGTTGATCTACCCTCAACAGGAACCAAATGAGCCGGTGTAAGAGTGAGTATATGGCCAGATTCAGTGGTTAGTCTAACGAATTGTCGCCTTTCAGTTAAAGATCTGTCGAGAAAGGCTATTACTTCGCTATATACAATGTCACCATTAGAATCGAGCGCCGCGATATGGTCGCCAAGTCGAATTTGATCTAGTCTCTTCATTGAACCGTCTGAAGTTCGCACTAAGCTCTTGCCTGAGAAGCAACCTCCGGATTTCGCTGCAGATGAGGATTCTGAAAGTGAATAATTAGGTTAGTTTGAATATTTAGTAACTTTTTATACGAGAAACAAAAATTTTCATATCATTTTATATTTTATGTGCTCTTTACTTTTAATAATATTTTTTAAGCATAATAGGTTATATATAATGCAATTTTTTTTTTTTAACAAAGTATTTACAGAATATGAAATATAGAATGAAATAACTTTATTTCTGTTATATCGCTTTATCTTATATCGCTTTTTATCTTATTTCATATAATACTAACTTAAATTTATTAAAACAAAAAATTAATTAAATTAAGAATTAATTAAATTAAAAAAATTAAATTAATTATAAATTATTTATAATTTAATAAATAAATTTCAATTTGTTATTTTATATATTTTTTTTTGATTTTTAGAATTAACTTTCATGAATATATTATTAGGATTACTTATATATATTTCTAACAAAATAAACGATTTTTCAATTTAAAAAGAAATTTTTAAATACAATCGTAAAATCATAAAATTTATTAGAATTTTGACAGAACAAAGAAAAATGTATGGAATGAAATATTTGTCATAAATAAAATCAAATAAAATGCTATAATGAAATTATAATATTTATAATCACCATCATCATTACTATAATGAAATTATAAATTATAAATTATCTTAGGATATATTTATATTGGTCTATTCAGAATAATATTAATAGAATTTTAGCAATATAATTTTTATTTAAATAAATCATTAAAATTTTAAAATCATTAAATAAATCATAAAATATATATACAGTTAAATAAATCTTTAAACTACATATATATATATTTTATATGCTGCTATTATATATATATAAATTTTTTATTTGAATTGCTTTTAGACTATTTTCTATTTTTAGTATTACATAATATTACATATTTTTATTAAAATAAATTATTCTATTTTTATAATTTTAAAATTAATATTAATAATATATAATGTAATATAT